GTGTCACTCTAGCTGTTCACCCAAGTATCACACTCTATGCTTCTGTATTTTATGTGTCACTCTAGCTGTTCAAAAAGGCTATTTTGTGAGAGGGGGTAAGTATCTATCGGAAATACATTTTCAGTTTAGGAAAATGCTAACTTGCGAACTTCATAAGAAACATTATTGTGTTCTCTGGACAAACGCATTGGTTTCCACTAGTTCAATAGGGCTAACTCACTCCTCTCAGGCCAGGCATGGCCTGGTTGTTAGGGCATTCGACTCGCAATCTGTGGGTCGTGTTCGAATCCTATCAACGAACATGCTCGCTATTTAAGCCATGCGGGTTTTATAACGTGAGGATTAATCCAATTTTTCCTTAGTAAAACAGTAGCCCGATGGGTGATATTGACTAGCTGCCTTCCCTCTAGTTTGCACCTTTAAATTGAGGATGGCCAACCCATACAGTCCTCTCGAGGTGTAACTGAACTTTGTAGAGTTGTTCAAAAAATTTTCGGAAATTTACGAAAAAAATATGGGCAGGAGTTTAATATTTTTATAGTTTCTAAATCTTTGTTAATACAATTGTGTTGCACAACATATGATTAGTGTTCACTTAATAAAGGTCGATTCTCTCAAAGCCTCTATTAAACTATTCTCCAACTTAACCTGATTTCGAGAAAACTAATAAGGGAAAATAGGCTTACGTCCTTCTGTCAAACGCTGAATAACAGATAGTTTACCATGATTTACTGAATAGTATTGGCTTCGCTAATTCACGTATAGGATTAGCTTGTCTCACGCAATAAGACCATTAGGCCTTTTCGCGAATTTGCGTTATTTGATTAATTATCCAAGTACACTTGTTTCTTTCTAAAACACCAATCATTAATTCTTACATTCACAAATAATTTATGAGCGTCATCGTGTCATAAGGGCCCGTATATAAATCATAATGTTGATATCGAAATGTGTTTAAAGAAAAACTAGTGTCGGTAAAAGAAAAGCTGATATCTGACTTAACAGTAGTAAAGCGTAATATAACTAAGTGAATAATACAAAACGTGGGTTTAACAAAATAGTCAAGTACGTATGGTTTGTAAATGGTGATATTATTTTATTAAATGGGCATCAGTGGCTTAGCCGTAAGTCGATGGGCTTATAATGCTAAAAATCCGGTTTCGATATATGTGGTGGGCACAGCACAGGTAACCCCTTGTGTAGCTTTTTTGCTTAACAACAAACAAAACTCTGAAAGGTTCCATTTCGGTTACCTAAACAATCCAAGTTACAAACGTATCCACGGAGCTGTAAACATCAAACTTTTACCCAATACACTAATAAAATCATACTTGGCGCCAAACAAACAAGTATAACATTTAATGAAATGTTATTATTTTTAGCTTTTAACGAAATCTCATAATTTCTGTTGTCTTATATAAAAACGAAATTTCACCATTTTTGTCGTGTTTTAATCATAGACTTAATATACATTACGCTGATTATATTAAGTCTATGGTTTTAATAATATTTAGTGTATCTTGTAAAAACTTAAATCACAATTTTTGTTGTCGTTGCAACAAGACCACCAACTGAGTTTTTTCGTTTCTTCAACATTTAAATTACAAATACAAGTGCGTTTTTTTCTTTTCTACGTCAAACTTACATGTTGTTACTTAGACATTATTTTTTTAAATCATATTTTGTTTTATGTAAACTAAAAAGAACGACTTGACACTCCAATAATTAACAGGTATTTGTTCAATAAATTTTGATAACAAAAAGTTTTGTTTGCGCCATCTACATTAATATCTTGTGCAATTAATTTATATAGTTTCAAAAAAATCAACATCTGAAGCCTACCCTTTAACTATATAGTACTATCTTGAAGCATTGTTAAATGTAACTATAGCAACCATTTCGAGAGATGTTTGTAACGCTTAACGTTATTTGTATTATTTTGATTAAAATGATTAAGTCCTATTCGTAATATTTACAATAATTTGAACAAGTATCAGAAGACAAAATAGTCTTATTCTAAAATATGTACGATACTCAGATGGAGCTAGTGGCGCTTGGAAATGACAAAACTGAGGTAGTAACGTTAATAATTTTTTTTTTTTTTTTAAATCAAAGACAGATAAAAATAAATACACTAAACCGATTTAGAAGTTTGTGAGATTTACATAAGTATTTTATTGAGAAGTCACGGGGTGAATTATTAGTGGAATACATAAAAAAGAGACCTTCAAGTTTCTTTTGAAAATAAATATTTGTAAGATATAAAAGTTTAGAGACGGCTTGAATAGGTAACGAAGAAAACTTTATTATAAATGTACAACGTTTCGACAAGATTATGTAACTAATGATGCCATAATCTTGTCGAAACGTTGTACAATTATAATCAAGTTTTTTCATTATCCATTCAAGCCGTCTGTTAGCTTTTATTTTCTGAGAAGTGGGTTCCTCGTCATCAAATATGGAAGATATGTCTGATGAGCGCTAAGACAAGGCGAAATTTCTGAAACCATGGAAACTTATACGTCACAGCTAAGGGGGCTGCAGTCACTCATTTACAGAAAAACTGTGTATAAAATGTCAACAAAGAAAATTTAATTTACAAATATAGTTCACATGTGAGATTGCAAACACACATCCACGTACATACATACACACACACACAGAGAGAAAGATTATTCTCTGTTGTATTTTGGTTTACTTTTAAAATAGTCCCTTTTACACAGTTTACTGTTAACACCAGAAATTACTGACCGACTTTATTTGGTTAACTAATGAAGCAAGAAATAAAATAACCAAACTACACATCTACTAACTAACTCCTTCTCTGGTAGTTAAACCTAACTGCGTTGTCTATCAAGAGATAAAATAACCATACGACACATCTACTAACTAACTCCTTCTCTGATAGTTAAAGCTAACTACGATAAGACAATGAACACGGTATAAAATGGTGTTTCTACCATTCTCTTTTACTCCCACGCTCTTATTAAACGACTCTGCCAAAGATAAGTTTATTTCTAGGTTTTACATTACTTCTCTGAAATATGTGGCTGTTAAACCTCGGGAAAGTTTAAAAGGGGGAATACCCTTTCTTCGTGGTGCGACAAAACTACAAACTCATGTGTGGTGAATATCACACTTTTCGAGTTCAAAAACAAAGTGTGTCCCATACATGTGGAAGTGGAAATATTAAATGAAAATAACACTAATACTGCCAAACCTCCGAGTTTGTAAAGAGGAGTATAAAAAAGCGCGATCAATAACTACGGGTCTTTAAAAAAAATTGTTTTCTTTCGCAAATATCGCGAATCAGCAAAAATAGATCTTAGAAATATAAACGGAGTGTGTGAAGTCTTAAAGAAAAAAATATCAATGGATATCGGATTAACTGTTCGCTTAGTTCCTGGGGAATGTTTATCGGCTTAGTGAACGATTACTATCCAAAGTGTGAGGGTTAGTAGATAGGGCGTTAAATTGAAAATGGCGAAGCTGCCATTACAAGCATCGTCGGAACAACTTTGTAGACAGCCACTGACGTATCGTTCATCGAAGTAGAAACCACCGCAATGACTCATCCGTACAATCTCTGTGTCAATCGTCAGCGTTCCACTATCAAGAGCACACCCCCGCACGATCATGGACTCTCCCGTATCTCCTGTAGAATACAAGCGAAAAATAGTGTTTTATATCTTCATAAAATATCTTGTGGTTCATTTCAGTTAACATGCGCACAACGTTTCTCTATTTAATGGCATAATTGTCAAAGTTGACAGATACAGACCTCTTTATGTAGTGTTCTTTAAATAAAAGTCCAGCTTTAGTTACAACACGTGTAATATTCTGCTGACAGATACAGAACTCATCACATTACAATTCAATAATGATTTTCTGTACACACATCCATAGTAAAATGTTATCAAAGTAAAATAAAATATTCCCATGTCTTTTATCACCTTTCGATGCAAACACATTGAAGGGTAAGTATTAAGAAGGATATTGTCCGTAACAACTTAATCCTGCTGTTTGTAATAACTTAATCCTGCTTATATAATACAATGAAAATGACTCAAACTAAGGAACCGATATTCCTTATGTACTGATAGCCAAGTATTATACATTACGTATTTTTGTGTAGTTTCAAACGTGCGGTTCTGTTTATACAGTTTGTAGGCCTATTAAGTTCATAACTTGACCAACAATTAACCCTCACAATACACAAATTAGCAATCGCGATAGCTTGGTTGAAATCTAATCAAAGAGTGACAACCTTATCAGTGAGGCAAATTCCCCGCCTGTCCTACAGGTTCCGGTACCCTTGGTCCTACTACATCAACTTATTACTATGTCAGAAAGTTTATTATACTATAGTGTACGTACGTAACACTCACCGTATTTCCCGGATAATTTGATGCACGATGTGGCTGGAAAAAGTCCGTTTCGATGTTTCCGCCCTGCCAAGCAAGGGGACTCCAACACGTCGGTGGTGTAGTTGTTGTGAAAGGGATCTTCACACGCAGGGTTGTCGCCCTCTATTGACACACACTTGAAGCAGTCTAAAGCTTCAACACCTTGAGATGTTAGAAACATAATGAATAATATATATATAAAAAACTGGACGCATAACACCATGGTATTCAGCTGGCATAAACAAACCTCATCAGCTCTTAAGCGTAAACACTGTAGCAGTATTTAACTGGAATATAAAAATATCATCACGTAACACTGCAGTAGTATATAACTGGAGTATAAAAATACCATCACGTAACACTGTAGTAGCATTTACCTGTAATGTAAAAATACTATCACGTAACACTGTAGTATCATTTAGCTGGAATGCAATAATACCATCACGTAACACTGTGGTATTTAACCAGAATATAAAAATACCATCACGTGACACTGTGGCATTTAACTGGAATATAAAAATACCATCACGTAACACTGTGGTATTTAACTGGAATATAAAAATACCATCACGTAACACTGTAGTAGAATTTAACTGGAATATAAAAATACCATCACGTAACACTGTGGTATTTAACTGGAATATAAAAATACCATCACGTAACACTGTAGTAGAATTTAACTGTAATATAAAAATACCATCACGTAACACTGTAGTATAATTTAACTGGAATATAAAAATACCATCAAGTAACACTGTGGTATTTAACTGGAATATAAAAATACCATCACGTAACACTGTGGCATTTAACTGTAATATAAAAATACCATCACGTAACACTGTAGTAGAATTTAACTGGAATATAAAAATACCATCACGTAACACTGTGGTATTCAGGTACGTTTATTTATAAATCACAAATTGTTACTTTTCTGACCTATGTGATACTCCATTCTCTCGCTAGAGTGCGTGTTCAATAAAACATCAGTGCTGAGTTTATTTGCAGAGTAGATAACCTGGAGCTGTGGATCTCCCGTTAATCTGATTATTAGGTTCAATTATTTTATTTGTTCTTGTGAAATGCGTGAATATTTGTTCATTCTGTTTTATATATCTAAAATTTCAATAAATGATCAAGTAATTTTGTTACCTAAACTTTAACACTAAGTTAATATTTTATAATTTTTGTGGAATATAAGATGAAGTTATTTTGATAATACCGTTGAAGTTTTCTGAAAACACGAGTATCCTAAGCCTATTAAGTGAAAAAAACCGATTTCCTTCCAATAATGCGCTGCCACCTACAGAGCTAAAAAAATTCACATGGTAATGAGAAAAGTGGGGCTTAATAAAATAATAATAATAATGTGTTAGAAGGTTGGGTTAGCCAACTTGAAGCATCATTTTTTGTTCTTAATCTTCCATAAAAGGTTACAAAAAGTAGCATATTTGTTACCGAGCTGGTACATACATGTAGCAGTGTTTTCATCTTTTATAAACATTTTCTCCCGATTTATCTACTATTACAGCGCCCCCTAGAACCACTGCTTTTGAATACGAGAAAGTTTTCTATACGAAGGTGTACCTGACCCTCCCACGTCCAACGAAACCGGACCTAAAAATCCGATAAAGCGAGTGATACGTTTTTTTTTTTCAATTTATCGAAACAATACAAACTACATACAATCACAGTGTTTAATATTTTAATGTTAGAATTACAACATGACGATGACATGAGTAGTTTAAAAGTGACATTCACGTGCCTAATATTTGGTTTCATTTTGCCTGTGATTTTGTTTCTGCGCATGCTCTGCTCTGTTCATCATTAGCCTTTGTTAGAGGCTAATTAGTCCTTAGAGCAACTTGAATGGCCGACTAGGGTGTCTTCCAGTACACTTGATATATTCGCAGACCTTAACTTTACATGTTCCTTCACGCGAGTTAACGATCGTTTAATAGAATCAAAGTAGCCATGCTGTCAGCAAGGGCAAGAAAATTTATAAACAACATTTCTTTAATGCCCAGAGGATATTAAAAGGGCAGGCCTCATTGACGAAATTTCACGAAAAGTACCGAAAATTTATTTGATAGAAAACCATCCTTACCTTTTATGGATGTTTTTCAAACTTGGTACAGTTTGTCTGGCTAAATAATGCACAATCATAAATTAGTAGCATCAATGTTGCATATAGTTTAAATTCCTGTATAAATATAGGATTCCTGCATTTCAAAACACCATACATATAATACACCACTGTTTGAAGACTAGTCCTATTTTCTAGATCTTTGAAAGAGCCTTTGCTTCTGTTTGGCACTGGGGGCTGATCTACAAACTTCAACGCCTGTCTTTTCCTGCTACCTACATTGTACTTATTTTTTTCCTTTTTCCGGGATCGCCGAGCTACCATTTCCATCCATGGTATTCATTCTCGTCCCTTCTCCACACGTGCTGGCGTTCCACAGGGATCCGTCATTTCTGTACATCCTGTATGTTGCTGACATGCCAGTTCCCCGGCCTCCAGTTTATCTCTTTCAATACGCCGATGACACAGCTCTCATTGTCCTTTGTTCTACAATGGTCACCCTCAACAAAGAAAGCCACCAATTCTTTTCTTTCCTGGTGCAGACACCGGAGGCTTTCCCTTTACCCTCACAAAACCAAAGCTATTCTCTTTGGCCCGACTCGCCACAAGTTTCGTTCATGCCGCACTTCACTTCTCTTCGATGTCCGACTTGACAACATTCCTATTACCCTATCCAACACACTTAGATATCTCGGAGTTACCTTTGATCGCCATCTCACTACACCTGGCCATCCTACACACGAAGGTTTATTATAGGCTTCGTTTACTTCGCCGTCTCACTTGGAAAGCACACCTGGCCATCCTACACACGAAGGTTTATTCCAGGCTTCGTTTACTTCGCCGTCTCCGTGGTTCATCCTCTGGTTTAAATCCCCAACTCCTTTTATATTCCTACCAAGATTTTGTCCGACACTGCCTATGGTCATGTTGGCTGGATCTTCACTCCATAGCCGGCTGGAAGTTTTGGAACGCCACGCTTTACGCATAGCTTTTCACTTACGTCATTACCTCCTAGGTTCATCCCCTGAACCTCTACCTTGTGTTTTTGCCACCTGATCATCCAGACTACCATTTACGTCATTACCTCCTAGGATCATCCCCTGAACCTCTACCTCGTGTTTTTGCCACCTGATCATCCAGACTACAATGTAACTCCGATGCCTGATCTTCCACCTCACATCTATCTCTCATTACGTTTCCTAATAGCGTGTATTCAACTCGTCTTCACTATCTACTCATCTCTCGTTGCTTATTTCCACTGTGTACTTCTACGTCTCCTGGCCACTGAGGGGGCGTAACCCTCTGTTGGCCCGACAGCCCTCCGGGCTGGAATGAAATGTTAAAAATAAAACATTTCTCGATCTTAACTAACCCTTGGTTAGAATGAAATGGAACGCTTGCATACATAAATTTCTTGGTCTGTTTTTCTCTAGGATAAGACAAGGGGTGGATTTCTACAACCCCAGTTTAGCATTAGTAAACCGAATAAGAGTTTCATGTCTATTTGTTAGTACAATGGATTTATATAAAGTATAAAAGTCTTGTGTTTCTACTGTTGGGTGACACACTAGACTTAGCTTTAAAAGCCTTATAATTATTGTGCCTGTTGAGAGATTACAAAAGCTGCTAAAACACAACATTTAATAATTCAAGTGCTTTCTAATGATTGAAATTCCTACAATAGGGGAAGAAAGATAGAATACTTGGGATATTCAGTGACGTCACCGTGTTGAAATAAGCTTCGGATCTCCAGTGACGTCACCGTGTTGAAAGATAACAACTAGAATCTCTAATGACGTCACCGTGTCTTAAAGATAAGCTTGAGATCTCCAGTGACATCACAGTGTTGAAAGATAAGCTTGGGATCACCGGTGACGTCACTAGGTTACAGATTGTTAGTTACTGGAACATCTTGCCACTATTACTGCTGTGGCTGAAATCTCGTGAAATAAGATCGACGTTCATATCTGTTATATACTTGATGCAGTAGTGCTTTACACGAGAATATATTTTAATTAATGTTAAAATATTCTTTTGTCAAAAAAATACCAGTAAACTAACCTAATTATTATCAAATCAATAAATCAGCGAAATTGTTGTACACGTTACGCGAGCCGCCACAAAGCTCTAGGGAAAACAGCTCTTCTGTTAGTGATTACGCTCTAATCGTGTTCACAGCATAGTTAACATATTCTTTATTTCTTAACAGCCTGAGTCTTTTTAATCTCGTTCCCAAGATATTAATTAACGGCGCCCTCGCTCCAGATGATAAACTTTGGTGGTTTCAACTTTTCATGGTTTTTTTTTTCATAAATCGTTAGTAGCAATAAGAGGGGGAACTTAGGAAGCTAAACCTGTTTTGTGAGAACCTAGCAGAAATACCCGAGACGTGTTTTTTTTTTTTACTGTCTCTGTTCCATAAATAAAATCCACGTTTCTCTAAAAAATACAGCATACAGTTTTACAACTGACCGAAAGTAATACTTGGGTGAACAGCTAGAGTGACACATAAAATACAGAAGCTTAGAGTGTAATACTTGGGTGGACAGCTAGAGTGACACATAAAATACAGAAGCTTAGAGTGTGATACTTGGGTGAACAGCTAGAGTAACACATAAAATACAGAAGCTTAGAGTGTGATACTTCTCGACCAGCACTGCCCTCTATCGGGCAATTATTCAACTCGCGCCACTAGCCTTGCACCTCCTGCTTCTGTGTATCCACATGCAAATAGCCATGCAGCATCTCTCCACCAACAGGAGCGTGACACAACCCACATCGTAACCAGCACCTTTTCCACAGTTGCACTCGTTAATCACTTTAAGATTGGTCAGAAGACCTACACCATACATAATCAGAATCAGGGAGACTGGGTGGGGAATGGGAGAGGCAGGTAGGTATCTATCGGAAATACATTTTCAGAGTAGAAAATTTCTAACTTCCGATATGACATCTTATCTCCTGTCACAAAGTAGCTAGAATCCCACATTGGAACTGGTGGAGGGTCGTAAAAAAAAGAAATTATCCCCCTAAGGAAGCGCCCAAAGAGAGACCAGGAGGAGGAGGAGGAGAACCAAAAACGAAAATGTCAGATCTCAGCAGGAAACCACACTACATCTAATCCAAGTATACTCTTCGCTCTTTTATGACTGTGTCGTGAACATAAAAAGGCAGAAAAACATGAAGGAATGTCATAATACGTATGACCGACGAATGGGACTCCTGGGTGTCGAGTCACTAGGGCGCAACAGACCATGGTTGTAGTTCAATTCATCCAACACCCGGTAGTATCTGGAATGGTACAACAGACCGTAATGGTAGTTCGACCTCATCCACCAGGTGGTATCTGGAATGGTACAACAGATTTGCGGTAGGCAGACGATAACCTACCTTTTCACCACAAAACGGGAATTGGTAGGGAAGATGAGTTTCTGGACCAAAATCCATCTCCACTTGCAACGCATTTCCAAC